GGCACCGGGCATTGGCAGCTCGGCAGGGTGCTGCAGTTCCATCCCCGCCGCTTTTCTTTCATTCTTTCACCTCTGCCAGCGTGTTAAAACTATTGCGAAAATAGCGAGGCATGGCCTCATCTCTCTATGGAGGCTGATCGCTGCCTGCTCGCCTTCAACTCGACCGGGTGTTATCCCGGCGGCGGGGAATGCGCCCACAGCTCTTGCCACCCGCCCCATAGCTGCTGCCTGGGGCGGACAGCAGCGGGAGCGTGGGATCGGTGTCCGCCGGGAGCCCTTTTTACCCCGGGCCGGCGTCTCCTAACGCTCGGCCAGCGTGCAAACAAAGCCATTCTCTGCCTCTGGGCGCATTTTTCTCTAGAAATCGAGAGGAAAATAAGAAAATGTTGAGGGGCGGGGGGGATTGTAGAGAGTCAAAGTCTGAAGACGGTTTATTCCTCCTGCAGATCCTGGGAGGGGTTTCCCTCCGGCCGGGGGGGCCATTCCCACAGGGAGCGGAGCGGCTCTGTCGGCCCGGGGAGGGCCGGGACGCGGTGGGGGCGGGCAGCCGCGATGGGAGTCGTCCCCCCCGCCAGCGAGAGCCCCCCGTTCCTCTAATCGATTGCATGTGCCCGCGCCCCTAGCAGCCCCTCTCCGAGACGCGGCAAATACCGTAACAACTCGCGTGTCGTAAATTACAGAGACCTCACCCTGGCAGGGAGATGCTGGGGAGGCGTCCGGTTTGTCTGCAGCTCTGGAAGGCACGGGAGGAACCGGCCTTGCTGCTGCCCTGATTTCCCTTTTCCCTGTTTCCTCTTCAGCAGCCTCTTTCATGGAGAGTGATAACGCAAGGGCTCACTGGCACATTTCAGTGGAAAGGAGCCTTTTTGTCTCACACCCCCACCCCCTTTTTTTTTTTTTTATTTTTTTATTTTTTTAAAGTTGTTAACTCCCGTTTATGATCGAAACGTTACTCTCTGCGTTTTGTTTCGTTCTGGCTGCAATTGGTTGGCCTGGGTTTAATCAGAGGGAAAAAATGCTCGCCACAAATATAGCTATTGTTTGGCTTGAGAGATGGGGGCCGAGGGAGGAAAGCAGAGAGGACGGAAGATCGTGTGTGACAGTGACGGTGGGACCAGCCTATCCGTCTCACTGAGCCCTAGTCCTGTGCTCAACCTTTCCCGAAACAGAGCTTTCTCTTTCCCCAACCTGCCCGCAGCAGTATTCAGGGGAGCCAGGGGCATGTTATCTCAGGAACATAATGCTAATAAATGTGCTCAGATGTTGGACATTCCCCTTGCCTGTTTTATAGGGTTTCGCTGGTGGTGCTTAATGGGCTGGGTCACCGGGACTGATGC